GCAATAAAAATAAGGGAAACAAAAGGCCGGTAAAGGAATAATGGCAAAGGAAGAGCATTATTTAAAGTTATATACTTATTTAATAACTTTTACAAACAAAACATTGCTACATAGCCAAAGACAAAAAGAAAGTATTGGTTCGAATCCTCAGCAGAATTAAGCACTGTTCAAACAAATACAACCAAGAGCGCAAATTTTTACAAAAAGGCAGCTGCTCCTCTAAAAGTTTGGGCAATTTTGTAGGATGGACGCGACTGGAACTGGAACCTGTGGAGGTGCCGCTGGAGCAGGATGGCTCTGTACTGCTCTCTGCTGTACAATCAGTAATACCTGGAGCGCATGGCCTCTACTATAAGGATGGTCATTCCAAAAAAGCATTAAAGTAATTTGCCTTTTATTCGTTTTTATGTTGACAATCTGCCGCGATTTGCAAATGAAACCCTCTGCTACTCAATATTATTTGTAACTTCTGGCGATACTTGCGCTTAGAGTTTTTTGCTAAAAGTTATGATATGCTGATTAAACATCGCCTTTTTCCATGTTTTTCTCATTGCTCATCACAGTTTATACGACATTGCATGAAATGGTAAAGAGCTGCACTTTCCCCGTACGGGTTTTAAAAAAATATGCGGGGAATCTTCGTGCTTACAGGCAACTGTTACCAGCTGGTACGGCGTAATGCAGAAGTAACCCATGATCATTGTCAAACCCAAAATCATCCTTCTTGTAAGTCAAATAAGGAACTGTCAGCAGCCCTGGCCAGCGAGTGGTTGTTTCTGGCATTTGCTGCTACTCAAGTCCTTCCGCCTCTCAGTGAAAGCGCGATTGCGGAGGAGGTCTTGACTCTGATTTGGTTTGAGAACTGACACCTTCGCAAAACATCAGAAATTGGGGATGAGATTCTCAGTTTCCCGAAGCACGCAGTACTGACAATTTTCTGGTCAGCACGTATTTCCGTGGAATTCATTTGTACGTAGGGTGAAGATGTGCTGGATAAAATCTCGGAGGGAATTAGCAGTTAGTGGGTTACTATAAAAGATTTTTATAGATACGATGGTTCCACTGGTCGAATATCAAAAGGCGAGCCAGGCTGGGACACGAAGCCGATATACGTTGTGCTTGGTATGTGTTCCCTCATTTCATGCTTTAT